AGAGAGAGAGAGAGAGAGAGAGAGAGAGAGAGAGAGAGAGAGAGAGAGAGAGAGAGAGAGAGAGACAGAGAGAGACAGAGAGATGCTCAGATCTGAATTTAAAGTTTGAATTGAAATTATTGATATCATATCACACTATATCATGTGATCCAATTAAAAAACTCAGATTCAACTCTAAAGTTCATATTAATATTTGTTACTTGAAACTTTTCTCAAATAAGACACTCAGATTTGATTTCACAGATAGGTGAGAGTTCTTCAATCGTGAATCGCGAATAAAGATATAATGTATAATAATATGATATGATTCACATATATCAATTAAATTAATTATAATTCAATTAAAAGAAAATTGAATATGTAATTCTGAATATAAATCTGAGAATGTGTTACATGAAAAACGGACTTCAAGTAACGATTATCAACACAGTCTTATGTTCAGATCTGATGTGAGACAAGCTTTAGATAACCACTATTAATGCAGACATTATTCTTTAAAGATTATAAGATACTTAATGTACCGTAAATAAATATAAGTCTTGTTTGATTTGTAGACGCTGTATGGAAAGACGATAAACCATGGCTTATTGTATCGCAGAGTATAGACCGCAGCATCAAATAATGACGATGTCAGGTGAGATGTCTAATTCCACACAGGTGAGACATCTAATTTATACACATAAACCAAGCGTCCCATTCGCCGAATGAAGTCAAAGGAAGTTAGTGACTTAAGTTTTTTTCTTTCTTTTCTCATTCGTCGCAGCAATAAAGTTTGGTCCTGTAATTCAACGCTACGTATAAGGTGAAAGACAAAAAATTTGAGAGAGAAAGAGAGAAATAGAGAGAAAGCGATCATAGACTCGCGTCGCTTTGACTTACTTTTGCTATCTGTGACGTGTAATGTTACTTCGCGAATACGAGAGTGTTGACTTGTAAACAAATTTATTTGCTTTAACATTGCTTCGTCTGAGCGCTCCTGTATCGAGCGGTACGCTCGGTCGATGAATTTTCGTGCGGCGCGCGACACGCGCGTAGAGATCCGGAACTAGATCTCAGAATTGAAACTACCAATTCCCCCGGCCTCGCGCCTGTCACAACAAACAAAGTAGTATGCGAATGTTTAGCTGCAATTGTATACATCATTGCTCGCCGCGCGTACGGACGCGCGAGCGAGCGAGCGCGCTCGCTCGTTCGCTCGCCCGATGATTAAGGTGGTGGGGCAAAATTGTGTTTACCTCTCTATCCCCCCGGTGACAATCGGCAAACACGTGGCCGTTGTAGCATTGTCGCGCATCGCCGCATGCCAAACCGCCCCTATGTACACTGCGGGATCGCAGTAGACCCGCATTCGCCCACGGGAATCCGCTGGAGCCGCGGCGTGTCTCGTCCTCTTTGTCGCGCGCTCGGATAAAGGCGAGAGATGTTCGTCGCCGTCGTCGAGGCGACGGTGAGTCTCGAGCGGAGAACGCTTTAATTTCTTCGTCGATACACCGGCCGAAGTCGCACGTATAGTGCAGAAACGAACGAGCTCGGTCGACCGATCTCCCGGTAACGTCGCTCGGAAAAGTCATTTACGTAGCCGCCAGCGGCGATCGACCCACCTTGCAACGCCGCGCGCTCGTCGAATTACGCGACGTGAATATCTTTTTTTACCGCGGTTAAGAGGGATCCACGGCGGGGTGCGTTACACGAGGGAGGGCGTGTTCTTGCGGCGGTACCGGAGATACATGCGCGCCGCGTCGCGAGTTCTTGCTGCCTGACTGCGTACCGTTAGGTATTCCGGGCAAGCGAGTACAATTAATAGTTTGATCGGCCCGGCAGAGGTAAAAACGGCAAGGCTAAATCGAGGGACAGATGGGAGAGACGCGGCAAAAATGTATGCGAGTATGCAAAAGTAAATAGTTGCATCTCGGATGCAAATGCTGAAAGCCACAGTAATCTTCGGGCTCGTGCTCTAAGCACGGCACTAAAACTGGAAAGGCGGCGCGACCTGGTGTCGTACAAGTTTAATTCAAAGAGATACTATCCACTCGAGAGCGGGGCTAAGTAGCGGGTCAGATAAAAGAATATCCCACGGTGCTCTCCCACGTTATACGACCTCGATCGCGATTGCTGTGCGATCCTTTGTGTTTTAAATCTTACATTCGGGCACTTGTCATCGAGATTCATATTGAAGTCGGTATGAAAGACGATGCGTGTCGTTCGTGTGAGCGTCTTTGCTGAGGATCGATCACGACGTTCGACTCTTCCAAACAGATGCGAGAAAAGGGCAGCTCGCAGACGTGTAATACTTTTTATTTCAATTCGCTATGTCGATTCGTCAGCGAGCTAGGTGTATTGATAGTCGTCATTGTTTCAAGTGAGATTTTCAGATTTGATTACAGAATTGAATCTATCTGTTTGAAATAGGTAGATGTGTAAATTTTTCAGTTGAGTCGCGATTACAAATATAACGTATGTCATACAATTTAACTAAAAAATTTAGGCTCTAACTCTGAATTCGTATCTGAGTATCTCACGTGGGATAAGTTTCAGATAAAATCACATAAGATAAGTGACGACTATTAACGCAGGCCTTAGAGATGTTTAGAGTCGCGGCGTTGATATCAGGTTTTGGCGTATAAACGCGCTGCGGAACGCGGCTATTAAAGAGTTTTTGCAATACCGTCTTTTAAATACGGTAAACGTTAAAGCCACGTGATCAGGTTTAATCCTTAAGCATTGACACATATCTACAAAAATATTTTGAAGTTACCTGAGAAAGTGTGCGAAACGTCTTTCCTTGTCGCCACTTCGTATCTTACGGGCCAAAGAAAAAATAGATGGACGCGATGTGTATACGCTTAAGCGGGAGTAAAACAGCAATAGGTTTTTTTTTTCATTAGGAGTCTACCAAATTCCTATCAGTGCTTAAGGGTTAAAGACGAAACTGCGTCGCATTGTTTTGAATGTTGTTCACTCAGAAATAATGTCACATGTTATTCGAATAGCGTTATGGTGAACAATGCGAATGCGCAGTTTTGTCTTTAGACCTAACTTTTTCACGTGACTTTAACATTTATCGTATCTGAAAGACGGTACTGCAAAAATTCTTTATTGTTTCCTATTCTGCACGCGCGACTTACTCCACAACGGTAGCGCCGGCCGATCGAGAACGCGGGTCGATACAAACGTCGACAACTGCGCTTATAGACGTCGTAGCGACTTGAAACTTACACCATTGAAAAGGAGAAGTTAACACGCTTCTGATGGACATGAAATCGTTCTTCAAATAATTATAAAAAATATCGGTTCTCGTGTTTGCATCCAAGTAGATATTAATTTATGTTAGGACTCAATGGGAGACTTTAGCTTGGATGCAAAGTACCAGTTTTACGTTTTTGACGGCTATAAAGTACAATTTCAAAGAAAAGCAAAATATCATTAATGAGAACTTCACTCTAATTCAGCTTTAGGTATTCGAGCGCTCGTTATGAAGAGGGGGGCGACGAGCTTTGTATATAGTCTGAAGAGACATGTCTTAAAAATTTGACTGTTTCCTAGTAATGGCGAAAATCGGGTGACAACGAAAGATGAAGTAACGTTGCAACGAAGTCGTGTGTTAAGCAGATAACACACAGGAAAGTGTAAACAGTAATATTTGAACAGTAAGAAAGTGGCCATTCACAATTAATTCGTAAACTGTAAGGAGAACAATCGACTGTAGTTGGTTACTGTGCTTACTGTGTTTGAATATGACTGTTTATGTTTTCTGCAAGCTTCCAGCTTTACATATGATCTCGGGTCGCATGTCTATATTTGCCATTAGGAGATCAGAAAACAAGCCCAAGACACATGTTTCTTCAGACTGCAACTACACAACTCGTGCCACTGCATTGCGCGCGTAAATTGGTCAATTTACTTTCATGAATCTCAATGATTACCATGGTGGTTTACAGAATGGTAAAGGATTTTTCTATTCTGCTAAACGAATCTACTAGGATTTTTTTAGGAATAGTGGATGTAAAATTGCGCGAAATGGTCCTTTTAGAATACAAATATTTTTTAATGAGTTTCATTAAAATCGGAATAATATTACAGTTAAGAAATAGAAAAAACTGATTTGATAATATTAAAGTAAATTTTCGAGCTTCTAAAAAATTTCTATTAATATTCTTTATCGTGACTGAATCAAATTAAGTGATGTATTACTACACTGAGAAGAAATCTAAAAATGAACAAATATTTCTTAGATGGGTACCGTTAATATATACTTAAATAAAAATTCTCTTTATTCTCAAATAAATGTTAATAGTACCCAAGAAATGTTAATGTGTGTGTATGTGATACTTAAAAAATATTTGTTAATTTTTAGATATTTTGAATGAAATTTCTCGCAAATGTATGATATACAGTTTCTGGCAATATTAATGCATATTAATGTTCTACTTCTATCATTTTATGAATAAAAATTGCATTTATTACCAGAAACAGTATATCATACATTGCGGTGGGCGAATTAAAGTATAAGTCTATAATAAAAAGGCCGGCAGAGGAGGGCTATGGAGATCTCTCGTGGAGACTCTGAAACTACTAATCAGGATACATATTCTTTACGTGGCCTTCTTACTCTGCACTACTGGGCAACTAAAGCTAGTACCAGGGCTGTGTTCATATCTGCATGTTCTTGGTTATTATAAAACAAAATATACAGTTAATAGGGTATTAATACATAGAAGAAGGTTGCCTCTATCATGTTTGTACAGTCAGACAACAATTAGTTGCCTGAGAAGCCGTAACTTCGAAATTCTAAAATATAGGGCATCTAGCCCCAGTCTCCCTTAGATATCAGACACCCTGTATGTGCGACACGCGTCGAAATGAACTCGTCCTCGCCGCGAGAGACAGCGGCGGTTCGATCGCCGTCGAAAAAAACATCATCTCGACGCGCGCCATAGAGCGTCGCCAATGAATCGCGAAATTCACTTCTGCATCGGGCATTCGCCGATCACTTTTCCGAGCCATGTGCGCGTTCTCTGCGCGCAGTATTAAGGCGCATCCAGACTCGCGTTGCGTTACCGTGTAATCGCGACGATGTAGGGAGACAACGCGTGACAACGAGCGACGACGGGAGAGAGGCGTGCTCATTTGCGTGTTACGTCGTGGTTTATAGTCGCTCGCTGTAACGTTACACACAAGCGACACGGTGCTCGGTAAACGTAACGCAGCGGATCTGGACGCACCTTTACCGGCATCGCCCGCCTTGGTGGCGGACGACAAAACTTTTCTCCGATCTCCCGCCGGAGCGTAAAAGGTCGCGACCGAGCTGTCTACCTTCTGAGTAACTTTGTCTCTGATGACGAAAAGAAATGTCAGGAATATTTAGCCCGAGAGATCAGGTGTAATACCGTTTCGAGCGAAGGGAAGTGCGTTACACCAGTTAATTGAACAACTTACATCGGGAAGGTATCTCGGAGATATTAATAAGCGAATAAATTGTTGATGTTTGTCGCGAGGCATCGATGCATTCCGATGTATCAATAACCATTCTTAGTTTATATCCGCGGCGCGGATCGCAAGTTTGACGGTATCGATCGAGAGCAGCAGCGCGAAAGTTACGTAAACGCGGAGAGACGCGGGTTTCTTAAGTTGTTAACCGCGCGAACTGGTCCTCGCGCGCGAGATGCGACTCCGTATCTTCGCATTTCGTACGGAATTGGTGACTGCGCGTAAAACCGAAACCGTCTTCCGCGTCTCCGGTTCTCATGAGCGCTTCACCCGCCAGACAATAGTTTACCGTATCGACCTATTCCCCACTCCTCCTCCTCCTCCTCCTCCTCCTCCTCTTCCTCCTCCTCTTCCTCCTCCTCTTCCTCTTCCTCTTCTTCCTCCGCCCGACTCTGCCGTGCTTGTTCACATCTACCTCCTCGTGCCACTCCGCTCAGCCAACCACGAACTTGCTTCTTCTGGTCTTCCCTTCGT